TGTGTGTGTGTGTGTGTGTGTGTGTGTGTGTGTGTGTGTGTGTGTGTATATATATAGTTTGAAGCAGAAGTCTCACTTTCTGTCTTAGAGTATTATTTCATGTGTATAAATGGTAGAAATGCTTAATTCATATACTTTTATAGCAAAAAAAAAAAAAAATGCCAGCTGTGAGAGGCATTGTTTTGTATGCCAGCATGCATTGGTGTAATTTTTAGGTTGAATAGAACTGTTATTTGTCTTCCTCCTCCTCCCCCCTTTCCTCCTTTTTCTCCTTTTCTTCTTTTTAACTTTGAACTGAGGGTTGGCTCAGGTCTCCAGGTTGCCCTGGAGCACGTGTTGGTAGTCCAAGCAGGCCTTGACCCTGTGGTCCCGTCCTGTCCTCCTTGAGAGCTATAGTCAGGGGCCCGCGCCAGCAGGCCTGGTCCTCTTTTTGTCTATGGTATATACTAAATAAAGTAACTATCCTTGGACTTAAACAGATTTGACGTTTGGGTTGGAGCCATCTTTATGCAGTTTTAGCTTAGTGGACATTAATATCAATAGTGGACATTTCAAGTTTAAGCAATAGAATATGGAAATCATATTTAACTGGCCACCCAGGAAAGAGATGTACTATGTTTTTTATATGAATTTCATTTTAAAAACAGATTACAGATCACTGTTCTGACATATGGCTCATTCTTGTTTTCACTAGTGTGTATCCGTGTGTATGTGTGTGACGTATACTCGTGTGTATCCTTGCGTGTACTCACACACACACACAGGCCAGAGGAGGGTATCAGTTTTCCTGCTTTCATTCTCTGTCTGACTTAGGCTGAATCTCTCACTGACCCTGGAGCTAGGCTGTCTCTGTATTTAAAGAAGGTAATGATGAAATAGCATACATGTGATGTGTCCTTTTTCTTACAGGTGCTGAAAGGCCATGATGATCACGTGATCACATGTCTGCAGTTTTGTGGTAACCGCATAGTTAGTGGTTCTGATGACAACACCTTAAAAGTTTGGTCAGCAGTCACGGGCAAAGTAAGTCCACGTCTTTTCACACTTGAGTGCATCACCCTGTTGTGTGAGTCACAGTAAAGGGCATGTTTTAATCCTTAGCTGTTTTGATAACAAGTATCAGGCCTTCTTCTCTCCATGTTTAGGAATGTCACCTTGGCCTGGGGGCAGCAGCCGTGTTTTCTTCATTTAACTAGTTTGTCATTCTAGATACTCTAAGATTTTTCAGCTGCACACCCTCTCTGAGCTTACCTTCTCCTTGCCCAAGTGAGTTAGAATCATCCAAATGTGACTAAGAGATTTCCTTATGAACTGCTTTGTTGCTAAGCTCTCTGTGGCTTAGAAGTCAAGTAAATCCTGTTAATCTACAATCACCTCACACAGTAATGGACGGAAAGGAAGCAGAGGAGATCTTAGATACTGGGTTGAAGAGCCAAGGAGGCCAAGCAGTGGCTGTACGTCACAAGCCATTCCTCAAGGAGTCTCTAGTGAATATATTGACTTTATCTGTCCAAAAAAGAACATTTCATGATCAGTAATTGATTGTTTAAAAATAGAAGAAAGTATGAGAAAAGTCTCGTTTACAAAATATCTTTTGCTATGTTGTTCCTTGGACAAGAACCTTATAAATACTCAAAGAAGATACTAAGATTTCCAAAGCTTCTACATGTTTCCAGGGTATAATACTAGTTTCGGACTTATCTCGTCGGAGTTCCAGTATCTGTCTTTACATGTCTAGAAGTAGCACAGCCTGCCCCTAACTACTGCCTGCAGGCAGATTGGGTGGATTGGTGAGCCTTGGTATGTGGCCACACCCAACTCTGGGCATTCCTGCCTTGGTTCTGCCCCTGGAAGGCACCTGCTGCAGCTTCAGCATGGTTTAACCATGGCAGCCAAGCTAGAGCTGTCAAACTCGCTTGCATCTCATTATTTTTGCTTTCTGCCAGATCTTCTGCTTTGTATCTTCCTTTAAGTTCTTAGCTTCATTTTATTATGTTATGTGTACAAGTGTTACATGTACATATGTCTGTGCACCACGATGGTGTCAGGTTCCCTGGCTCTGTAGTTACAGGTGGCTGTTAGGCAGCATGTGCATGCTGGGAATCAAGCCTGGGTCCCTAAAAGAGTGGCCAGGGCTCTTCCCCACTGAGCCATCTCTCCAGCCCCTCGTGTGAACCTTCAGTTTCACACCACGTCTCCTTTCTCCGTACTTGCTCCTCAGCCCTGCTTGTGTGTGATAAGCATATGCCAGTACCATAAGCAGAGTGGCAGCGTCGGTGTGCAAAATGCTTTCCTACTGCTCTTGGATAAGTGAACCTCATCCAGATTTTACTGAGATGCTAGTCTATTCTTTGACTTGCTTTCATGTCTCCCTAAAGCTGATGGTCTGAAGTGTTTTTGCAGTGTCTGAGAACGCTGGTGGGACACACGGGTGGAGTGTGGTCGTCACAGATGAGAGACAACATCATCATCAGTGGCTCCACCGACCGGACTCTCAAAGTGTGGAACGCCGAGACTGGAGAGTGCATACACACCCTATACGGGCACACCTCCACGGTGCGGTGTATGCATCTCCATGAGAAGAGGTAAGGGGAAGCGCGGCTGGCACTTCCACTTCTGGGACTGTGAATTTGGGATTCCTACAGTGCTCGTGAGCTCTTAGAGCAGGCACTAATGGATTAGAGTGCAAACATGCTGAAATGAGAAGGTCAGGCTGGATCGGCTTAACATCAAAGGCTTGTCTTAAGGTTTCCTTCTTCATTTGATGATGGTATAGTTGTTTTTCTTAAAACTCTTCTCTCTCATCCATTTTGTTTTGATGATTCATCGTCTTCAAACAAAAATTGTTTTCTGTCTTGAAAGTCATAGTCATGTTATGCAAGAGTGACAGACTCAGTCTCTGGGACTTCCAGCCTGTGTCCCAGGGTGACCCAGCCACGTGGCCTCCACTCCATCACATCCCTAGATATAGACAGACAGAGAGCCAGGGCTCTAGAGTGTTCTCCTCTGCTTGTCAGTTGAACTCCTCAGCTCTCAGATGTCCTCTGGCCTCTTACAGCTAACAGGGGGCTCTGGAATTAGGACAGCCTTGCTGCCCTCCAGAAGGAGGGGGAGTTTTCAGTCCCATTTTCAAAGGGCTTTCAGCCTGGCCTGGCTGCCTGCCCCTCCCAGCCTCTGCCTGGCGCCTTGTTATCTCACCTGTGGTGCCCCTTTGTGGTAAAATCGTGTCCTTGTGTTCATTCACCTTCATCGCAGCTAAGATGCTGTGCTTTCTACTTCGTTTGTCCAGAACCGTGCTGCTGATGTTCGCACTGGGAAGGGAGAGACAGAAGGTCACAGCTTTTAGAGGGGGCCCGTCCCCTAAGAAAACATGTCCTTACAAGGGTCCTTGCGCTGAGTCCACAGCATCCATGCCCCGTAACTGACCATGGTGCTTTCTTATTAAGAACGCTTCCTGTAAATGGACTTTCCCTACAGCCAAGATATGTAAATTTGAGCCTGCTTTGCACAGTGTGTTCTGGGATTAAATGTAGGGGATGGGTTTCGAAAGACATTGCATTTCCATTTTGGTTGTGCTCACTCTCCCACACGTCAGCACTCCACTCTTTCAAACATGGGAACCGGCTTGTAGCTCTCGGCAGTGACCTAAAGGTGCCTGTTCAGTAATCCAGAGGTAACTGCATAGTTGTGGCACTCTGGTTTTCAGAAGAGTACAATTTTTTATTACATTGAGCCAGTTTCTTTAGACATTTCTGTTACTTCTGTAGGAATTTCTTTAAGAATCTGTGAATCAGCAGCTGTGAGCATGTGCCTGAAACCAATTTTCTCCGAACGTGAAGTATAAGGAAACAGCCATAGCTTTCTGAGTCCCAAAATTATTTTAAAATTCTATTTTGTTGGAAAATAAAAGTATGGAAATTTTTACTCAGATAGGCAGTAGGAGTTCATAATTGAAATGTAATGAAATGACAGATCAAGAAGAAGGAAAGTTGTGCATTGCTCTGAGTCCTACCACCATGAGCTGCCTTGAGGGTTGCTGTGTGTGCCATGTTACCATTTCCCTTCTAGTCAAGGTCATGTTGTGCCTATGGAGAGGTGCTTGCTTGAATACATTCAGGTCTTTCCAAGCTGCGTGGAACCTTGAGGTAGAGCCCCGGTCCCTAAGTCAGTGGGGACCAACCAGATGAACCTTTTCGCTTCCCCTTCCAGGTGGACTAACTGGAGTGTATATTTGAAGGCATCCGGTAGAGTTTTTGTGAACACATTTCTGTTGAAGAACAGGAGGAGAAGGGCCTGTTTCGGGTCATGTGCGCTCACTTTCCAATTCTAGTTTTCGTGTTGTGTTCCACTCTGCAGGGTTGTTAGTGGGTCTCGAGATGCCACCCTTAGGGTTTGGGATATTGAGACCGGCCAGTGTTTACACGTCTTGATGGGTCACGTGGCAGCGGTCCGCTGCGTTCAGTATGACGGCAGGAGAGTCGTTAGTGGAGCATATGATTTTATGGTGAAGGTGTGGGATCCGGAGACTGAGACCTGTCTTCACACGCTGCAGGGACACACTAACAGAGTCTACTCGTTACAGGTAAGGCGTCTCTCCCAGCCCCGAGAGGCTGCTGATGACTCAGGAGGTCACTTTCCCACTGTCGAGCCGCTGCTTCTGTATACCTTACAGTTAGCGTGAAGAGACGTCAATTTCAAAATCATTTACCTGATTTAATGGTTTCAGTTGCTGTGATCCATTTTCTCTTTAAAATGCAAATATTTGTCTTGGAACCTGATACTTCAGGGCTGTAGATTTTGCTACATTAATTAATAGTTAGATAGTCTCATAGGAGAATAACTTGGATTTTAATAAACTTCTTAGCTGAGGATTAATTTGGCCAAAAGCTGCCCCTTTGCCTTGCTAGCTAAAAGTTGATGGACCGTGTAATTGTGATTCCACCCCCATTTGAAGTGCCTGTGGAACCTTTCTGCAAAGAGCTCCGTGCTTGCCCACGGCCACTGCCTGGGAGGCAGAGATGAATTTGACTAACCTATTGTTTTCCTTTAGATTTGGATTTGATATTTATTCTTAGATTGTAATACTTAATATCTTCAGTAACTAGACCTAAAGCATGAGTCACCTTTACTTCTAGAAATGCAGCATTTTCCATTTTAAAGTATTTCCTGTTACATAATTTCCTTCCAAGTTACAGCCTGTTGGTGATGGCCATAGTAGAACAGTCCCAGTGCTGACATTGCTGTTCTCAGGACATTTGCTTCTTAACTGATTTTACTGCCCAAGTAGTGAAATACTGATGCATGATAAGGGGGTTGAAGGCCACTTGTGGGGTGCTCAGAACTGATACGCACACACAATGTACACCTTCTAGGATCCGGAGATGTTTGTTGGCGGTTAGTGCCCTTGGGAAGCTGAAGAAGAGAGCCTACATGGCTTGCTTTTGTTACTAAAATGCCTCTAAAATTCCTGATATAGTTATCTTTTAGGATATTTGCTAATTAGCATTAGGTTCTTGTAAACACCTCATTTTACAAACCATTTTTAATGGAATTTACTTTTGAGCATCATGAAAGTTATCTGTGGCCCTTCCCATGCCTTGGGTGCTGATAAGCATGTCTTTTGTCTCAGGCTCTGGCTTTGGCTTCCTATGGGCAAAGCAGGCTCAGCAGTCTTACTAAAAATGGGATGTGGCTTCCAGCTGGGTCCGAGTGACTGGAAAGTAACGCTGTTCATTTGGGTGCTTTGTTTCCCATGAAGTTGTAGCTGCCTCTTTGAACTCTTGGGCTGTTTGTTTTGTTTCTTTCTTCTTAAGAATTTCTGAAAGAAGTGTTTTGGAGACACGGTCCACAGACTCAGGTGCTGGCATGCACAGCAGCTTACCTTCAAGCTTACCCCAGTTTGCTCTTTGTTCTGGCCTTTTATGTTGCCTGTCCCCCTCCCTGTATGAGTAAGGTCTGCAGTAGGAGGAGAGGAGGACATGCTTCTGCGCTAACACCTCGTGTCTGTTGTAGTTTGATGGCATCCATGTGGTGAGTGGGTCTCTCGACACATCAATCCGAGTCTGGGATGTGGAGACGGGGAACTGCATTCACACCCTGACAGGACACCAGTCGCTAACGAGTGGAATGGAGCTCAAGGACAACATCCTCGTCTCTGGGAATGCAGACTCTACAGTTAAAATCTGGGATATCAAAACAGGACAGTGTTTACAGACATTGCAAGGTACGCGGGGCCCTCCTTCAGCTGTGTTCTTTTAAAATACCATTTTTATTCACGAGCGGACCTGGGGAGAGCGGGGATTTCCCTTCCTGCAGAGTCCCTGCTCCTGATGGGTTTATCAATGTTTGGCTTTCAAAACTAGGCCACCTTGAGAAATGGTTTTCAGTTGTGTCTTTAATGTGAAGATTGTCACTCATTTCCAGCATGTTCACGTGACTATTTAACCTGAACAATGAGAAGAAAGACTTGGCTGTGTCACAGAGCAGCACTTTTTTTGAGTGATCATTTTATTTTGAATTGAAGCATATCTGGTAGGAAATTAGTTTGGACTCTACTTAGTCAACTGCTTCAGCTGGAATGGAAGAAAAGTGATGCTCTCTGAGGTACGAATACATGTGAGGAGCTTTAACCTCAGAAGATATAGCACCGTAAGGTTCTTCATGACTCTCGTTCTCTTTAGTCACAGCCCTTAGAAGGTTGGTTAGTTGGTTGTTTTGTTTGCTTTTAGTGAGCCATCTGGAGGGCGTCACATGTCAGCCTTTGCCCATTGATTTTAACTGTTCCTGGGAATTTGGGAGTAGTCAGAAGTTTCGTTTTCTTCTTTGACTGCCCAGTTCAGTGGTAGAGTGACAGATCTGTCACCCTCATGTTTCCAAGCTGCACTGCCTATGACACCTCAGGGAACGCTCTCTCTCAGAGCCAGAGAACAAAACGAGTGTCTAGTAGCTGATCAGCGTTACAGAGGTAGAACTCTGGAGATGGGTACGTTAGTTACAGATAGCTCCCAGACAGTGAGCTGGCCCTAAACTCCAGCAAGGTTCCTAAATACACAGCTTCTAAGTGTTCTTGTCTGCTCTCATGTAGAGGAGTACAAAAGCCCTGAGCAGTAGCCCAACCCTCCTTTCTGTGTAGTGATGAAATCCCTGTGCTCTTGCCCAGGTCCCAACAAGCATCAGAGTGCTGTGACCTGTTTACAGTTCAACAAGAACTTCGTCATCACCAGCTCAGACGACGGGACTGTAAAGCTTTGGGACTTGAAAACGGGTGAATTTATTCGAAACCTAGTCACCTTGGAGAGTGGGGGCAGCGGGGGAGTCGTGTGGCGGATCAGGGCCTCCAACACGAAGCTGGTGTGTGCCGTCGGGAGCCGGAACGGCACTGAGGAAACCAAGCTGCTGGTGCTGGACTTTGATGTGGACATGAAGTGAAGAGCAAGATGAAGACAAGATGAATTTTGTCCAACTGTGTAGACAGTATACTCCCTGCCCTTACCCTGCGCGAAACAAGAAAAACAAAAACAAAAAAGAAAAAAAAAAAGAAAAGGAAAAAAAAAAAAACAGAAAAAAAGAGAAAAAAAGAAAAGGAAAAAAATCCCTTGTACTCAGCGGTGCAGGATGTCGGCTTGGGACAACAGATGGAGAAGACCTACGGGCAGAGGAGGTAAGAAGAGACCAGAGGCCGTAACTGACAGGAGGCGGCGGCTGCCGCATCACCCGAAGGCTTCGCTTCTGACTGAGGGGCAGCTTTGCAAAACGAGACTGTCTAAATCCAACCAGGTGCAATTATTCTTTATTTTCTTCTCCAGCGTCATTGGGCGGAGCTACAGGAGGCCTTGTCACCGTCACCTAGAAAGGCGTGGCAGTACTATCCAAACAGGCTGGTTGTCTTCTAATCAGAGAGCATCCGCAACAAAAGTCGTTTTCTGAGGTGGACAAGCTTAAAAAATTACTGTGAATTGTTTTTGTACAGTTATCATGAAGCTTTTTTCTTTTTTTCTTTCTTTTTTCATTCTTTTTTTTTTTTTTTTTTTGCCAACCATTGCCAATGTCAATCAATCACAGTATTAGCCTCTGTGAATCTGTTTCCTGTTGCTTCCACATACACTCTTCACCGCATACGTTTCTCAAAGGTGGCAAGTTGTCCTGGGTTGTGAGTCCTGCGATGGATTTAGGTCTTGATGCTGGTGCTAGAAGTGGGTCTTCAATACGGGATCGTGTCCCACCCTGTACTGTACTGTACTCCCAGTGGCCAAACTTATTTATGCTGCTAAATGAAAGAAAGAAAAAGCAAATTATTTTTTTTTATTTTTTTTCTGCTGTGACGTTTTAGTCCCAGACTGAATTCCAAATTTGCTCTAGTTTGGTTACAGAAAAAAAAAAAAAAGACTTTTTTGCCACTGAAACTTGAGCCATCTGTGCCTCTAAGAGGCTGAGAATGGAAAAGTTTCAGATAATAAAGAGTGAAGTTTGCCTGCAAATAAAGAATAGAGAGTGTGTGCAAAGCTTATTTTCTTTTATCTGGGCAAAAGTTAAAACACATTCCTTGGGGCAGAGCCTGAGGTGCCTGTTCTGTGGAGAAACTTCTTTGAGGGCTGTGGTGAATGGCTGAACGAAATAGTAAAGCTGACAAGATATTTTAAAGATATATATAATGCAAAACAAAAGGAAGTTGCTGGTCAGTGGCAGCATCTTACAGTATTTGGGAAAACAACTGTTACAGTGTCATTGCTCTGAGTAACTGACATGAGAGCCACATTCGCTCTGTGCCGGCGTCACACGCGAACCAGCGCGATGAACGGGGGTCAGAAGGTCCGCCTCATTCACCAGGAGCCGTAACTCAAGCTGAACTGTGAAAGTGGTTAACACTGTATCCTAGGCCGTCTTTTTTTCCTCCTCCTGTTTATTTTTTGTTTGTTTTATTTATAGTCTGATTTAAAACAATCAGATTCAAGTTGGTTAATTTTAGTTATGTAACAACCTGACATGATGGAGGAAAGCAACCTTTAAAGGGATTGTGTCTATGGTTTGAGTCACTTAGAAATTTTATTTTCTTATAACTTAAGTGCAATAAAATGTGTTTTTTCATGTTATTATGCCTGTTTCTTTCACTCAGATAATACTGTCTCATTATAAACGCACAGTGTTTGTGTCTGATACTTTGAATAGTCAGGTTTTGGTTTCTTAGCGTCCCCTGAATTGTGGCATAGGAATCATGCTTCCAAGCTCAACCAACAGTGAGAGGCCCAGCAGGCACCATCCTGAGCAGTCAAGGAGGCCACCCTCCACACTTCCATACGTTTCCATCAGGCATATAAACATGGCGTCTGGTCCCTCCAGTCATAAAACTTGTGTGATAGTTATGGCTAGAAGCCTTGTAACTAATGAGTGCATCCTGAAGTTCCACATATCCAGTGCTGCACATTGTTGCCTCGGCTGCTCCGGCCCTGAGAAGTGGCCTCTGTCACCTGTGCCGCGGAGATGATGCTGAGAGCAAGGGTGGGCCGGTTAGGAGATGCTCAGATGAGCTGGCGGGTGCGCACCCTGCCCACCGCCTCCATGGAATTCCAGCAAGCCGAAACAGCGTTGTGGGGGGGGGGGGGGGGCGGGGTGCCTCTGGTTGGTTGGTTTTTTGTTTTGTTGCTGTTAGGGCTTACATCCTCCTTTGCCCTTCCAGAGTCTAGGAAACATGAATCTAATCTCAACAAGCCAGGCCCTAGGAAACAAAGCTCAGATAAACATGGAGTCCTCCTTTGCAGAGAATGAGGCTCGCATAGTGTGTCTGTACTCTTTCTTCACAGAGCCCCGCTGCTCAAAGGCTAGTCAGGTGACCGGAGTGGGGGCTGGCGACCCTGAGCATGGAGAGGGCACTGCCTTACACACTACACTGTTCCGGAAACTTAGCTGTACCGTGCCTCAGCAAACCACTTGATAAGAACAATGGGGAAGGCAACTGGAAGACTGGAGTGTTAACGACAGAAAGCAAGGCACAGGGCACAGCCCAGAGCCACGCCTGTTGCTCACAGCAGCCATGGTGGAAGGAGAGAGTCCACTCCTCCAAGTTGTTCTTGGCTTCCACGTACGCATCGTGGCATATGAATTCCACCCCTGCCCCCATCACACTCAGAACAACAAATACAGCCATGTCATTGCAATGCTCTGTATTCAGCAATTGCTTTTGTTTCACTCAGGCATAGAATGAAAATGGCATAGGTGTGGAGGTAGAGTTTTATAAGTATGTATATACTGTTACACCAATTTACATTATTTTAAGTCGAGTTGCATACTTTGTGCAGCCTTACAGAAATGTAATACAGACTAATACTGAGCACCCAGCAGTGAGATTGTGTGTACTCAGGTGCTAAGAGCTCTAGGAGTACAGTGTTTGAGGATGTGGAATGGCTGAGTCGGTGGAGCGCTTGCCCAGCATGCACAGGGCCTGGTTCTGTCCGTGGCACCACGTAACAGTTACGTGAGTGCTGTAATCGCAACATTCAGGAAGTTGGGACAACAGGATCAGAAGTTCAGGTTTATCCCTAGCAACCTCTATTCCAGCTTGGGAGCTTGGGATACATGAGACGCTGTATCAGAAGGCAGGAGGGAGGAGGAGGAAGAATTAGGAGGAGGAAAAAAGTGATCTGTTCCTGAAAGAGAAAATGTTAGTCTTACTCTGAAGAAAGTAAGAAATTAACTAGTTAAAGCTCACAGAGGGTCCCACTGTTTCACTTCCGCCTAAGGAATTTGCTGTTATGTAACTGCATTTTTATATATTTTATGACGTAACAAAACCGAAGGCTAGGATTAGGGCACAGGAGTGATCAGTGCAGGCACTCACCCTGTGCTGTCAGTGTGGCAAATGGTGTGGCCTGCGCTCTCCTGTCTTACTGAAATTGTTCATAATTTTGACTCATAAGCCCTCTGGCAGATTCAGTTGCCTCAGTTCTTTCATTAACCTGCAACAGCCAAGTGCTTGCCAAAAAGCTGCATGGATGTGCCAACCTATTTGTTTAATTTCAAAAAAGCAGTTACCATCTAACTATTTGTGTCAGCTGTTGTAGGCCATTTCTCAAACCTCCACTAGTTTTAGTATGTCTGTTTCCTTGAATGGATTAGAGGATACAGTCAAACAGCAACAGGAGAAACTTCTTTGGAGCCCGTCTCTGGTAGGTGAGGAGCTTCGGGCAACTTCCCTAAGCACCCACTGTACTTCATGAACTAAGGATTCCAGAAGAGCAGAGCCCTCCATCCTGTCCAGCTGCCTTGTCCCGGGACTCGGATTCTCTAAAGAAGCCGGAAACATGAAGCCCCACTGCTTGCTTATTGAGACAGATGTCCGCCGAATTTCCTACCCCTCTGCTACAGTCCCTGGCAAAGTGGAAAGGTTGTGAAGTCTTTCTCAGTGTTCCCAACAGGCACAGCCTTGTTCGTTTTTCTTCTGTTAGTCTTGTCTCATGCCCGGGAAAGATCCAGACTGCAGCCTGGGATTGTTCTTTCGGGGGCCTCAGCTGATGAAGAATCTAACCCATGATGCCTTCCGGGTGAGTGCGGGAGAGCATCCTGTTCTGCAGGGCTGTGCAACTCTAAGGGTGAGGCAGTCTGCGTGCCGTTTGCTGCAGCTTGAGTGTGCACACAGCACCTTGACACGCATGAAGACTGCTGGAAGTGGAGTTTCTTCTGTGTTGACATCATTTCCTTGTTTTGGCTTCACCCACAAGAGGGGAAAATTGGGTTTGAGGACTGATGTAATCCCAGCGCTCAGGAGGTACGCACATCAGGAGGGGAACAAGGCCATGTGAGGCCTGCCTCAGAAGGGGAAAGGCTGGGTAAGCAAGGGGACTCCTGTCCCCTTGGCTGGATCAATGGCCACTGGACCTAGGGGTTCACACAGTGTTCTGGACTCCTGCACTAAGTAGCCATGTGGCGATTTGAGAAGTTGGTGTGTAACTTATCACTGGCACTTCCTGTCAGCCGTAAGTTAGATCCAGAGTGGCCACGGTCAGCTCCCAGTCATTCCTGGGAGCTGTAAGCAAACAGCACCATCTGGCACCGTAACTAGCCAGGGTGTCTGCCCTCAATACTAGTAAGGCCACGTGAGGGGAGATCCTGCCAGCTGCTACCTCTTGCTAGGTGGAGGAAGCAAAACAACAGAAAACTCAGAAGGTAATTCCAAAGGTTTTTCAGGGAAAGCACCAGAGCTACCTTTCCCCGTGTTAGTAAAAAGGAATTCTGGATCCGAGTCCTGGGAAGACCCGTGGCTGCAAATGCCTGGCAGCGCCCCAGTTTGCACTTGAGGATAAAAAGTGGCGTTTCTATTTCGGGTCCAACTTCCCAGGGTGCTGAAGGACAAGGAACCTCTGAGTGGACATTTTGATGATTCTCTCCTTCTCAACATCTTGGTGCAAAACCTACTCCTGCAGTTTGTCTTTGGACTTTGTTTTGCTTCAGCGGCAGTGGTCTGCAATGAAAAATTACTTTGAAGTGATTTTTGCAAATCAAAAGTTCAACTATAATGAGCCACAAAAACAGCTTACCAATTTACTTTTTCCCCCTAGGAGGTTCACAGCTTACAAAAGAAATAGCACAGCACTCAGTACAAGGAGGTGGCAAAGGAGACTTCCCTTGCAGCCCTCCTCACACCATACTACATAATAATGAGAAGAGTCGAGCCTGTTAATCTGGTGACGTGCCAGGAAAGTCAGGTGATTAGCAAAGGTTAGGGTGCATCTTAGAGCCCCTGTGGTCAAGATGGGGGCACAGGTTTGGGGGAGCTGAAACTTACTAACTTAAAAAAGACTTGTCAGAACTGGGTCCAAAGTGATCGTTTAGAATCAGAACGATACAACGAGGTACTGAAGGCTTGGGGATGTGGATCCCTTCCTTCTCAGATGTCCGGGGGGGTCATCAGATTCGTGAACTAGAAATGCATCTCCTTGTAGCATGGCCCCTGCCCACCAGGACTACAACTCCCAGCAACCCCTGCCCATCTGGTGTACTACAATCCCTTGTGTAGCTTCCTCCGTGTCAAGGAGAGCTGGCCTGTCTCCTCAAGTGTAAGTGGGCTAATATGAGAACACAGTGTAGGTCAAGTTTGTACAGGGCCTGATGTGTAGTGGCCGTTAGGGGCTGTGGTTACCACTGAGGAAAAGTAATACAAGGAGGACATGACTCCTGGTGTGGTGGAGAGGTTTACAGAGCTCTGAGGGAGAGCAATGAGATGGAAGCTCGGGCACCTGTATGTCCAGAGCCGGCATGACCGCCGACTGATGTGGGCCATGTGAGGAGAGGGGAGACAGGGCGGGGAACATGGAGCAGCAGCCAAGGGGCCGAAAAGGCCAGAGCAGCCCAAATGGATTACAGTAAGGAAGAGCAGCGGGGGAGGGCAGCCCAGCCCTGGGGAGGGGCGCGGTGTGCCAGCCAGGGGGGCACAGATAGGGACCGACCGAGGGATGCTGGAGGAACCTGGCGGCCAGGTCCACGTTGATAACCCCTCAGCCTTTTGTCCCGGATGTGAGACCTAACTACCTCGGAACTTCAGCTAGTGGCTGCTGTACCTTCAACTCTCAGTATTAATTATCCTGTGTGATAGAACACAGTTCCTACAGGTAATCTCATCTTATTGTCAAAATCACGCGGACAAAATGAGAAACAAGCATTTGGGTTCCAGAGACACCCCTCCCCCCCCCTTTAAAGAATACTTCTCACTATGCAACCAAAATGCCATGGAATTTTGCCACGCGCGCGTGCGCGCGCGCACACACACACACACACACACGCCACACCCGAAAATGTGAGGCTCAATCTTGACCTATCCTCTTGGAAGATGTAAAAAGCCATCAGCTGGAGAACTAGGGACACAAGTTAGCTTCCCAGTGTATGCTGGGCTCGCCTCACCTTCTCCACCTGCGAGAACAAACCAGGAACACGGGAAGAGGGGCAGTGGTGGGTAGGGCCACCTTCTTAGGGCAGGCGAGACAGCTGGGCAGGGAGGTGCTGGCAGGCGAAAACCACCGCTCCTTTGAGCGCCACGCCTGCACCCCGCCCTGCGCAAGTCAGAAGTGTAATTACAACGTCTTAAAGAAGGGCTGTTTGCAGG